CAGGGGTATAGCTGCTCTGGTACTGTGGCGCGGGCTTTCTCGGCACAGTGGAAGTCGCTGCGCTCCTTTAGTGGTTTGACAGTACTGTGTAAGAGATTGGATGCAAAAGCCAGAAGGATTCAGGCAGATCTGGCATTAATTCTCGCCCCTGGGCCTGACTGTCTTCACACAGGATGACAATGCTGCTCCCTAAGGTTGGCTTTCTTAGCGAAATCCACGTTTTTTCTTCTGTTTTCTTAAAAAGGATGCTGTCTTGCAGATTATTACAAAAGCTTACAAGTATCTGGTATTCCAGCAGTAAGAATAAAAAAATGCATACTACAGCCTACAAGACATTCTTGTAAGAGTTGCAACTCCATAGCTACAGAAGTGTATTTAGTGTGTACTTTCCTGAATTTTTTCCTCTTTTTTCTCCTTATTTCCCAAGCCCACAGACTCTCACACCCAAGCCTATCATTGTCATTAATAATTTTAGTAACCCATCGAAGTGGGTTTACTTCGATACGTTAGGTTAACATCCTATGTGAGTACCTCCGTGATCCTCCAAACCTGATCCTTACGTGTGTAAGTATTTCCATTGTGTGACAAACATTTTACCAGGCAAAATAACATGTAGGTATCTTTTGATTTTTTTTCAGTATTAAAAGAGCTGACAAATAGTAGCACGTTGACACTTGCATGTCTTTCAAGAGTTCTCAGAAGGCATCTAAACATTCAGGTTTTCAAAGCTTTGCGTTACCCAAAAGTATTAAGTGAATTCCTCCTGAGGCCCCTAAAAAAACCTAATACTCCCACTTTCACAGCTCTCCAGCCAACATCTTTTTATCTACTGAATTGAAATGTCATATCTTGCCTTCTAAAGGCAAAATTTGCTTCTAGTTACACCACTAATATCGGTGGAATTACGCTGGATTTGTGCCAGTGTCAATGAAAAGCAGAATCTGGCTCTAGTCCTCGGTTTGCAGGATTATAACACATTTATATCCTGCTGTTTTTCTGTTTCAGAAATTGCAGCTTCAGTGGCAGTTTCAAACAACTTTGATTTCCATATTACCATATTTCAGTATTATATATGTAATTTCAAATAATCTTGTAGCTGTCTCTGTGGGCTTCTATTTACTGCTGTTTACTTTTCCTCACAGATTTTCTAGTAAAATGATTTTAGCACAATCTTGTTGCTTTTGAGGAAGTGATATTCCTAAATATAGAAATGCAGTGTAAATATTTATAAGATTCCCTTTATGAGGCCATTTTTTCTAAGTGCCTTGAAGGGCAACAGCATGTGTGTGGGTATGTGGGGACTAGAAGGACAGCTGTGCTAAGAATTCCCTGCAAGAGAGGGTAATGAAGCTGCAGCCATCCTTCATGAAATTTGTTTTAGGGAATAAATTCAGTAAGGATTCCACAGAGAATGAGCTTCTTGTAAGATCACTTAAATTGTTGTATCTCTGCCCCTGACACACAGTTTCTTTTCACTTTGCAGGCAAAGCTGTCTGTCTCCGGTTGCTTGACATTGACATATGCACACCTCCATTTCCTCTTAACAGACTTTCCTCTGTTAAGGCCTACAGGTTGGTTTTCATTACACGATCTTTCATGGGGCTTAATTTACATTAATATATTTGGATGAACAAACAAGTGAAACTGTACTTCCTTAATACTTCTTATGTGTTTACAAATGTATCTTTTTCTGAAAATCCTGCTATAAATGATGCTAGGATAGTTACTTCTTCATGCCTGCTTACAGCGGCTGTGGATGATGTCAAATTAGATTATCTGAAAAATACATTTGCATATGCCCTAGAAATAATTTGCAGGATGCAAATCTCTGAATTAAGGCGTACGGGATTTTTTCTCTGCTGCCTATTGGGTCTGGTATCCCTTAACCTTGGTCTAATATTGAAATATCACAGCACAGATAGATTACAAATTTTCCCTTGTTCTAATTTAAACACATTTTGCTTGCTTCTGACCCATCTGTGGAAAGGCCAGAACTGACTCTGTATCTAATAAAAATACATTCTTGCACATTTGTTAGTGTTCCCTGTAAAACTCTGTTCATTTATTGTTTTAATTTACAGAAGAAAAAAATCTGATCACAAGATACTGCCTATGGAGGGCTTATACAATCTATATCTGTCCTAGTAAATAAAACACAACGTTCCCAGCACTAGACTATGTCCGTCTACACAGTTAAATCTCATATAGCCCAGTCCGGAGGACCCTTTCCTCCCATGCGTGCCGGCAAACATTCAACCAGACAATTCCCAGGAGCTGTTCAGCAGTGGGGACCGTGCAGGAACCCTTCCCAATTGGTAGTTTAAATGCAGCTTCCTGGTTTTGAAGGCCAAGAGAGTTTCCCTGTGGAGCTGCATGTCATTCTGTGCCAGTTGGCTTCAGAGCCCAGGAACGTTTTTGGGTGCACTTAATGGTGTAGATATAGCCATAGATTACTGTCACTTTGTTAATAGTAACAGGTGCTTAAAGTTCTTGGTAGATGCAGTTCTTACTACAAAGACTGTGGGATCCAAAGCCATATCCTACAGTATAATGCTGGGTGAATTTCAGTGGCATGGAGGACCTCCTTTGAACTACGTTACCTGTTCAGAGACCCTGGCTTATAAAAGCTACCTGTACGGTATGTGGCACTCAAGCATTTGAGACCGATATGATACGTACCACAAGAATGGTGACGTGTTCCAAGAGACTGAATACACGATTAAGAACTCGTGAGTTTTCAGACTGGATTTGTCCCTGGTTTGCATGGCCTTGGGCAAGTCATTTGTATGAGGTTACGTTTTCTCCATCAGTAAAGTAAGAGCAAGCTATTTCACAGACGTATCACAGGATTAATTATTTTTTTTACAACGTTTTGAAACTGTTTAGCATTAATGCTTATTAGTATGAAAAACCACGTGAAGTGAACAACTCAGTATTTCCATTGTGTTATTTTTAAAGAAGATGTTACCTGGATCATGGGTATAAACACCATGTAAACTTCACCTTTACTTCTTATTTCAGAAGCATTCTACTTCTGTGCTCTACCTGAGCACAGATTATTTCCACTTTTCCAAAGGTGTTATCCACTTTCAGAAATAAATTGGAACAGGAGGATTTTCAGTCTTTCTGCTGTAGGATGGAATGATAAGAAAACAGACCAATTGTGATGTGGAACCCCAGATGCTCCAGCTATTTGAGCTCTTCCCCTCATTGTGCTCCCGCAGCTATATAATAAACAGTTACAGAGGCAGCGCTAATTCTTCCTACCTAGGTAGCTGCTGTAACTTCATCGGAGGCCAAATGTGTTGCTGGGGAGGTGGAAAGGAGCTCAGAATCAGGACAAGAACCTGAATACCGCTATTTTTATTTCCTATAACTTAAACTCTTGACGTCCCTCATGTTTATATTTTCTTTTCTTTCTTATCGGATAAATCAGACTCCATCCCCAGAACAGTTATCATAAGGTAATCACTGAACAGCCTTAATCACTGTCTGCATATTTAATTTTAGGTCTGTGCTGTCGATTCTTCCGTTTTCATGGTACTTATTAAGAACTTTTGCTTGCAATGAATGTTTTGTTTGTGTTGAATCTCTGAATGGATGATTAATGGTGATCCTATTTTTAAATTCCTTCGTTTCACAAGCCTGTCAGTTTTCAAGTGGTATTTTTGTTAAATGACTTACAGATTATTATTAGTTTTCAAGACATCTTTGTCACGTGAGAAACGATCTCTGTCAAACTCCAAACTCTGCCATAACCCTTTGTCACTGCTAACTTTGTTCACGTATAGTATGATGTCCTCTGAAATAAGTGTTTAAGGATAAATTGGAGTTCAGGTGAATTAAGCCCAAATAAAAAAATATAATCCTTATTGTAATAGAAATAGTATCCTGTCTTTAGAGTCATGATATATGTATGTAGAGACACTCAAATTCATAAAGAAAATACTACTTGGTTAGTACTTTTATTTTTATCTTTTATCCAAAATGCAAAAATATGATTTATACATATATAGATATATATATATAGATAGATATATAGAAAATGAACCAATTAATAGATATTCTCATTGAGATAATTATTGGAATGCGATACCTTTCTTTTCAGTTTCTTTTAGCTGTCTTGCAAAATGGATTAGAAAGTTTTTCTATAGTTGTCTCTCATTTTTTACTTTCTGTTTTTAATTGTAGAACAGCACCATTATGCAGACGCATAGATTTTCCCTTGTCTCACTTCAGCCTATATCTTTCATTCCTTTTTTTTTGGGGGGGGGGTATTCCTCTGTGCACATAGCAAATCTTTTTTCTCTCAGGAACAAATTGATATTACAGTTTGACGCTCAGCCTCAGCACAACACTTCTTTGAGTCTGAAACCTTATGTTAGTTAGAACATTGAGGCTTAAAATCGTTCCTTCTCGACAAATCCTCTTATTCACTGATCTGAGCACGGCCATATTTTTATCCAGTCTTGAACGCTGGTGAAATTTTTCTTTCCTGCCTTTCTTATTTGTACATCTTGGCAGATTTGCTCTAACCTGTTTCTGCCACAGCTTTCTTGAGAATTGGCTTTGGAAAGTATAAAATTTCTATGGCATACAATTTAAATACTGTAAAGAGCTTACCAGTAATTATTTTACTGTTTTCTTTTTTAAATCCGTTTCTTTCAATTGAGTGTAATACGATAGTGTCAGTTTATATGTTCTTACTCTTAATTATTTTCACATAACCACTGAACTGTTAAAATATTGGGTATTTGTAATATATTTTTCAGTTGGTTATGTTTCTAGGTTTAGACCATTTTCTGTCTCCTGAGATCTAGAATGGTTGTTTTTGACATGCCTATGGAAACATATGATATTCAAATGAATGAATGTTCATCTTAGATGATATAAAATATAGTGTATCAGGAAATGAATTATTCAAAAACATCTATTTTAAGCAAGACCAACAACATTCAGTAGCAGGCTGGAGGCATTGCACAGTCTCCTGGCCACATGTTGGCCCTTGCTAACAGAGAGTCAGAAGCTTTGCTTGCTGCTGCTCTGTGCCTGGCAAGTCCGTGTCTGACTTTTTGTTCTTTCAGACCTTCTAAAAATACAGCTATGGCAACAAAGCAGACAATATTTTTTTCCCCTGAATCCTAACTAAGAGCTGTGAAAATGTATCAGTAAAGGCTAATACCAGTAAGAGTATACATAGCATCAGAGAGTACAAACATGAAGTTGTGTATGATAAAAACAATGAAGTTGTGTATCAGATTGCATTAAATTGTCTTAATTACTGTATTTTAGTGTGGCCAAATACTTTTCTGTATGTGTCTGAGAAAATACATGTTCATTGATGGCCATGCAACAGCTTTTTACCACTTTGCAGGATTTTGCCTTTTAGAGCAGCCACTGTGGTTAGACTCTTAGACTCATTGTACATGCTAGGTTTAGACTGATGTTCTAGTACGTCACATGAACCTCCTGCAGTAGGTGTTTTAAAAATAGGTGTAGATAGTGAAAACTTTACTGGTTCTTATATTTAGACCTTTGTGCTCTAATTGTTACCCCTTGATAACTGTCACCTTGTATCCGGCAAAATATATTGACAAAAGCAATACAGTTGAGAGATCGAGCTTATTAGTTCAGACGTAGCACTGTTAAATGCAGCTACGCTGCCCCAAACCTGTGCTGCTTGTTCTCAAAGTACTATGCTGTGCCATATGATCTTGCATGGGCTTGGGTCAATACTAACTTGAAGGTGTCGGTATTATGTTTTAATTTACTGGCAAATATGAAAATTCGTGAACTAGTCTAGAGACTGGATGAAACTGATTCGTGAGCGGACTCCAAACTGCAGGTCATAATTTGGTATTCCTGTGAAAGGGCTTTGTTAAACATTTGCCATCTCTAAGTGTGATATAGAGGAAGAATGATAGAGGTAAGTTTCAGTGCCAAAGGTGGTAGCATGTTATCTTAGCATACAGAAGGCAACTGGGAGTATTCTTTTCATATAATATTGCATGGCAGCTGTGACTGTTCCCGATGAGTGTTGTACCTGAAATAGAGCAGAAACTGCAAAAGATTAAATGGATATGAGACCAAGAAGACAGACCAGCCGTGTAAATGTTCTGTTTTTCCAAAGGAAATCTTATTGGAAGAGTCAAATCATAGTGACAAACTGAAAACAAAAGCACACTTAACATTTATTTTATTTACTTCGAAAAAGTGATTGTGATTTTCCATATGTGCCTTTGCTAACACGTCTTTGTGCTCATTAGGATCCTCTCTGATAGTTAGATTGATCATCTTTTTCAGTATATAGTAGCTCATTAACAGCACTAGCTCTTTTTCTTCTGAGAGCTGAAGCTTCTGTCTGAAATGCAGTGGCAAAACACTTACTTAAATTCAGTGGCACAGGAACAAGTGATACATGAATGCTGTGTCAGTCTTAATTCACATTTCTTTAATTTCCATTCTGTATTATTGTGTATATTTAAATATGAGAGAGACCTATCTATTTGTGCTTGTCTATACTTACAATTTATTTCTTGAAATATGCACATAAAGCCAGTATGGATTCTCT